GCCTTGCCTGCCCTGTTTCTGCAAGAGTGAGGTTTGGCTCACCGCTGAACCTCACTCTTGCAGAACCAAGGCAGGCAAGGCACCTTCCTCACGTTACAATCCAGGTCGCCAAATGCAGAACTGGTCTGATATATTTCCGTGAATCGAGCACCATAAATTTAGTCTACATTGTCATTATTATGTGTTGTGATGATATTTTTCTTTCTCTTTCAGAAAATGCACTCTGGTCTTTAACATACAGACTAGATCTGCAGGAAAAAAAAAAGAAAGAAAAAAATTAAAATATATCGGAAAGCACTAATGCTTTCTGTTTTTAGAATATGGTGAATTTAATTTTCTCCTGAAAGCTTCTGTAGAATGATGGTTTATTTCTGGCATGGAATGTAGCCAGACTTCCAATGGGAAATAGAGAACTCTGAAATGAGTGAACTCTATTCCAGAGAGAACATTAGAGAAAGACAAAGTTTGCCAGCAGAGTGGACTCGCCAAAGACAAAACTTGTGGTTTTGTGTGCGTCTCAACTTTGGCTGTTAAACTTAAACTGAGAGGCAATGGTGTAACCTGGAAACCTATGGAGAACTGGGCTGAGATTTTCTTCTAAGCAGGTCAAATCAATTCCAAGTGTCATTGTTCTCCCTCCAGTCTTAATCAATATTCAGGACTTTGGGAGAATGATGCCTCGAACAATAATTAGTGGTAATGGGGGTGCTACACACTTTGCTGGTCATCGGCATTCCTGGCTTGTTAAGAATGCTTTCATCGAATGTTAATACAAAGGAGGCTTTTTTGGTTTTCTTTTCAGATTCTTTTATGGTTTTAAAATTATTTATTGTTGGCCGGGCGCGGTGGCTCAAGCTTGTGATCCCAGCACTTTGGGAGGCCGAGGCGGGTGGATCACGAGGTCAAGAGATCGAGACCATCCTGGCCAACATGGTGAAACCCCGTCTATACTAAAAATACAAAAAAAATTAGCTGGGCGTGGTGGTGCGTGCCTGTAATCCCAGCTACTCAGGAGGCTGAGGCAGGAGAATTGCCTGAACCCAGGAGGCGGAGGTTGCGGTGAGCCGAGATCGCGCCATTGCACTCCAGCCTGGGTAACACGAGTGAAACTCCGTCTCAAAAAAAAAAAATTATTTATTGTTATTATTAACCCTTTGTAGAGAGTTAATTTAGCAGAAACTACAGAAATAGTTCCTCCACCCTTCTCTGCAGCCTCCCCCATAATCAACATCCCCACTAAGTGGCATATTTGTTAAAATTGATGAACCTACGCTGATGCATTGTTATCACCCAAAGTCCTCAGTTTACAGTAGGGTTCGCTCTTGGTGTTGAACATTCTATAGGCTTTGAAAGTTGTATACTGTTAAGTATCCACCACTGTAGTATTATACTGAATAGTTTTACCGCTTTAAAAATCCTCTATGGGCTCATTCCTGTAATCCCAGCATTTTGGGAGGCTGAGGCAGGCAGATCACTTGAGGTCAGGAGTTCGAGATCATCCTGGCCAATATGGTGAAACCTCGTCTCTACTAAAAATACAAAAATTAGCTGGGCATTTGGCACGCGCCTGTAGCCCCAGCTACTTGGGAGGCTGAGGCGGAAGAATTGCTTGAACCCAGGCGGCGGAGGTTGCAGTGAGCCGAGACTGCGCCACTGTGCTCCAGCCTGGCGACAGAGCAAGATTCTGTCTCAAAAAAAAAAAAAAGTGTTTTTCAAACTATTTGTTGTAGCATCAAACACAGATACAAAAGTCTCCAGCATATAGGACCTCCACCCCACAATGTTAATTAAAACATGAGGGAAATTTTCTGGTGGAATCGTTGGAAACTTTCAGGTGTGATTCTTTGGAGGAGAACATGGGGGCAGAAGCAGAGTCAATTATTTTTTAAGAGTTTCATTGGAATTTAAAAACCTTTTCTTTCAAAGTTGTTAACTGAAATGTCATGAATGAGTTACATTGTTCACTGATCTTTTGAATCCCCAAACAAAGAAGAACTTGCTACTTGGAGGCCCCTGATCAATCAGTAGAGTTTGAAGTGCAAGAAAGGAAACATTGCTGACCAGAGATGTTGTTCTAGACCTCCAAAAGCTTTGCAAGTATCTCGACAAATATAGTTAAATAAAATATGGAAAAAGATTGTAGTTGTCTTGCTTTTTTTCGCTGTCTGCATTTCAGATGTAACGAGAAGAAAATCACTAGTTTATGATCATCTTACATAGTTGAGTTTGAAAAGAATGACTTAGAAATGCTTCCCAATCAAAAAAAAAAAAAAGAAAGAAAGAAAGAAATCAAAGTCCAATAAAGACCCAGAAGAGAATAAAAATTACTAAAAGTTACAGATTTTAAAAATTTAGTTTTAAGGTATTTATCTGGAAAATCATAGATCAATGTAGATAAAAATTAATATTGTCCTTCCATATTAGCATTTGGTATTAGCACTTGACAAATACTTAAATGTTGAATGTCTGATGAGAATTTACTTCCCAATTAGATTTTTTAGTTAAGTTGATTTTCACATTTCTTGAGGCAAGCAGTACAGAATGTAGTGGCGAAGGTCATGGCTCAGGATTGGTTTGAAACCGTGCTTCTCTATTTACTGTGTGTCTGACCATGGGCAAATTACTTAACCCCTCTCCTCCTCAGTTTGCTCATCTGTAAAATGATAGTGATGAGAGTCATTATCTCTTGAGGCAATAATGAGGATTCAATAGGACAGCTCACATAAAGCTCTTAGAATGGGGACTGGCATTTAGTAAGAGCTCAATAAATGTTAGCTATTTTTATTTTAAGTTCTGGAATACAAGTGCAGAATGTGTAGGTTTGTTACATAGATATATGTGTGCCATGGTGGTTTCCTGTACCTATCAACCCATCATCTAGGTTTTAAACCTCGGATGCAATACTGTTTGTCCTAATGCTCTCCCTCCCCTCGCCCTCTACCTCCGACAGGCCCTGGTGTGTGTTGTTCCCCTCTCTGTGTCCATGTGTTCTCATTGTTCAACTTCCACTTCTAAGTGAGAACATGCGGTGTTTGGTTTTCTGTGCCTGTGTTAGTTTGCTGAGAATGATGGCTTCCGGGTTTATTTTTACTTTAATAAGAAAAACGTCATGCCAAACCATACAATGTTATGAAAATTACTGTGATTATTGATCAAACACATAGGACATTGGAGGAAAAATAAAATAAACTCTCAATGTTTACGGAAGAATACAGGAAACTGCTTTTCTTAAAATATATTCACACGGTCTTTCATTTCTAAAGAAGCTGGTGTTGGCCAGGCACGGTGGCTCATACCTGTATACCTGTGCTTTGGGAGGCCAAGGCAGAAGGATTGTTTGAGCTCAGGAGTTCCAAACCAGCCTGAGCAACATAGTGAGACCTTGCCTCTATAAAAAAATTAAAAAATTAGCCCAGTATGGTGGTGCATGCCTGTAGTCCTAGCTACTCGGGAGATTGAGGTGGGAGAATTGCTTGAGTCCAGGAGTTTGAGGCTGCACTGAGCCATGATTATGCCATTATGCCACTGCACTTCGGCCTGGGAGACAGAGCAAGACCCTGTCTCAAAAAAGGAAGCTGGTGTTAATCTCCCCTTCAGGTAACCCACTGCACAGATGTGTGCAGCTCCAAGTATACACAGCCTTCCAACTCTTGGCCTAATGTAACAGGAGAGTGGAGCTAGGGAATTACAGGCAATTTCAACGAGAGGGAATAGGTAGGAAGGAAACAGCTGGAAATCCCTGGAGTAGCCTTACTTGTCTGATCAAAAGTACACATCAGACTGGCAGAACTCTCATTCATGTTCGAAACCAGAGGTTGGTAAACTTTTTCTGTAAAGGACCAGATAGTAAATAGTTTTAACTTTTGGGCCATATGGTATGTATCATAACTGCTCAGCTCTACGTCTGAAGCACAAAAGCATCATAGAAAACAAGAAAAAAACTGACTGTGGCTGTCTTCCCATCAAACGTTAGGTACTGGGGTGGGTCACGGTTTGCCAGCCCCTGATCTGGAATGCACTTGAGTGTGGTGCATAGCCTTCATTACGTTTCTTGTAAAATTGTCTCAGATTGAAGCTGGAGGTCCTTTTTTCCCCTCTGATCTTCCTTCTTCCACTCTCTCACTACATTTTCTATCCACAGCTTTATTCTGGTGGTGACCCAAAAGGTCAAGGTTTGACTCCGTCCTGCAGCACAGCAGGATATTGGCACAGACTCAACCCTCCCAGGTTCTCAGAATGGAGCTCATACAAAGCTAAGCCTCTTGATGATATTGACAACCTCGTAGAGCTCAGTGCTTAGTATATTTTGTTTTTTGAGACAGGGCCTTGTTCTGTCGTCCAGGCTAGAGTGCAGTGGCGCAATCTCAGCTCACTGCAACCTCTACCTCCCCGGCTCAAGTGATCCTCCCATCCCAGACTCTGAAGTAGCTGGGACCACAGGCACAAGTCACCATGTCTGGCTGTTTTGTATTTTTTGTAAAGATGGGGTTTCACCGTGTTGCCCAGGCTGGTCTTGAACTGGGCTCAAGGGATCTTCCTGTCTTGGCCTTCCAAAGTGCTAGGATTATAGGCGTGAGCCACCTTTCTTGGCCAAGTAATTAATGTTTTTAATGGAAAATGAGTCTGTATCTTTTAAGATCTTTGGAAAGATATCCATTCTTCTTCCCTCACGGCAGCTAGCACAATGTCCCACACCCAGTAAGTATTTGTTGATGTTATTTTGAGGTCATGGCAACTGTGACTTTATCCCTTTGTACGTTAGTTTGGTGAAGACCTGGCTTTCTAGTTCTAGAAGCAGAACTGAAGCAAATTCCTTTTCTTTTGGGAAAACAGACCTTTTGCAAAGAGACACAGACTCTCACAAGAAAACAAACCTGTCTTCCTGAGACTCACAGGGGAATGAGTGGGGAAGTGTTGGGATCCTTGGGGGAAATTACGGGTTATGGTTTCTTTCTGCTCTAGATAAGAGTTGGGCGCAGGCAGATCCTGGAAAAAGTGGGAGATAGCATTTCCAGGAGCAGTCGTGGCTGGTGCAATGGTGGCTGCTTGTACTGTTTCTTTAGGCTCTTATAGGGAGATAGCCAGGGCACCTCCCTAAAGAAAACAGCTGGGTGGAATCCTTATCTTTATCAACAAGGCTAGATCACAGGGGCTGGTGGCCTTATCATATCAGGGCAACCAGTGATTTTACCATGTCACCAACTAGTCCTTTAGAAACCAACCACATTATGACATTTCAAGCTTAACACTAGTGTCCAAATCCATTCTGCCATATTATAACTCAGTTGCATCAGCAAGTTTATTGCTAAAGGCCTAGAGTCTCAAGTACTTTATGAGACAGCCTGAAGACGTAAGAAAGAAAGTCTAATTTCACAATAGCATTTACTTGGCTATGTGTACGTGCACACGCCAGGTCCCAGGAACGAGGAAATTTTCCCCCAAAAGCTCTAACCAATTCACTTTAGTAATTTCTCGTTTGTTTCACTCTGATACTGAGTTTTCTTCTCATTCAAACATTCATTTATTCATTCATATGTTAGTTGAGTGTCCTCTATGTATCTATCCATTGTCCTAGGTACTGTGGTTACCACTGTAAATAAAACATGTAAAACATTGCTTTCATGAAGTTTATATGGAAGAGTCTGACAAAGAAATATGCAAATGTCAGATGTTGATAAGTGCCATGGAAAACAATGAAGTAGGGAAGGTGGTGAGATAGCTGCAGAGATGTGGACTGGTTGGGGGGATGCTGTGAGCAGCCTGGGGGGTGGGGAAGATCTCCCTGGTAAGTTGTCAGATTTCAAGCGCCCTGGAAGAGCGCAGGGGATGAACCATATGGATGTGGTGGGAAATGGTATTGAGCTCAAGGGAACAGATAGTGCAAAGGCCCTGAGGTTGGAATGCTGCTTAGTTTATTTGAGAAACAGGAGTCAGTGTGACTGGAGGGGAGTGCATAAGAGGCAGAGAGGAAGAGGAGACTAGAGAGGCAGAGAAGTCCAGGGTATCCCTCAATCTTTCAGCCATTTAAAGATAATCTATGGATCCCCTAGTATCTGTAAGACACTGTGTGCTAAAGGGTTTGTATTTGTTGGACTACGGCGGTTAAAAGTGTGTACTAGTTAGGGGAGAAGTGCAATGTTTTAGGACAGTTGGGTAGAGATGATAGAGGGAAACTAAGTAAAGATGTCACCTGCTCTGTTGAAAATGCAGGAGAAGTCTGGTGGGTTCTAACTTACACACACTGGTAGGGAAGTCATCAGAACAGATAGAAGCAATTTGACTTTGGAAGACAGCATCTATATTTTAGGAAGGACTTTTGAACTTTTTAATTAGGTCTTGTTAAATCTGTTTAAATCTGTTGGTATTTCTCAATGTGACGTACGCTCTTGGTGGCAGGATATAGCTCAGAAGCTAAGGCAGGAGGGAGACATATTATCCAGATAATCCTTGGTGGATCAATGACTGGTGTTAATAATAGCAGTGTGGAATTTACTTATGCCCTTTTCCTGGGTTTTCACGTAATTGATAGGAGGTGGCTCCTAAATTATTCTTTCTAGGGTCAAGAATAATCTTACAACACATTGATATCTGAACAAATGAAATCAACTTATGGCAAATACTTTTTTCATAATTAAAAAAGTGTAAGGTCTTTTTGGCTGACTGATGGCGCCATGGCGCGCACGTACACCTCTGGAGGGTCCTCTGGAATTAGAAAATGTGAAGTAATTGGAAGACCATGAAAAGTGGAAGACGATCAACCCTGGTGGTGCCTAACTAACCTGAGACATTCTTCTACTGTTTCTTATTCCGGCCTCAATCTACAAGGCCATTGGACTTTGTAACCGGCCTTGGTCAACTTTGTGACTCCAGACCCTGCGATTCCCTCCCAGCTTGCAAAAGAGCACCTTAAACTGTAACTTCTGTAACTTTCCACTGCCTACCACAAACATATAAAACTAGCTTCTATCCCACTGCCCTCCACCGACTCAGACCGCCTGCACCTGGGTGAATAAACAGCCATGTTGCTCATACAAAGCCTATTTGGGTGGTCTCTTCATTCAGAGTTTGCGTTTTAACATAAAGTATGTTTTAAATAAGGCATCCTGATCAGGATGTAAAATAGGTACAGTGCTCTTGAGCATGTGTTTGAACTTCATGGGTCCGTTTATTTGCAGATTTTTTCCAACAAATATATTGGACGTGTTTTTTGAGAGTTGCAACCATTGGAAAAAACTCAATGAACCACACAGCCTAGAAATATTGAAAACATTAAGAAATTGTAAGGTAGGTCATGAATTAGAAAATATATGTGGATACTAGTCTGTTTTATAATTTACCACCATAAAATATACACAAATTTATTATAAAAAGTTAAAATTCATCAAAACTTATGCATACAAACACTTATGGACTGTAAATGATGCCATTTGTAGTCGAGAGAAATGTAAACAAGTGTAAAAATGCAGTATTGAATTATAACTGCATAAAATTAACTGTAGTAACTCCATACTGCTGCACTAACTTCATAGCCATTTCCTGTTGCTATTGCCGTGAGCTTAAGTGTTGCAAGTATTCACTTAAAATGCTGCATGTAACATTTTGGGAGTCCAAGGCGGGTGTATCACTTGAGGCCAGGAGTTCAAAACCAGCCTGGCCAACATGGCGAAACCCCTATCTCCACTAAAAATACAAAAATTAGCCAGGCTTGGTGGCGCATACCTGTAATCCCAGCTACTCGGGAGGGATAGCTTAAACCCAGGAGGCAGAGGTTGCAGTGATCCAAGACAGAGCTACTGCACTCCAGCCTGGGCCAAAGAGTGAGACTTCGTCGAAAAATAATAATAATAATAATTAAATATACAGTGTGATGCTAATCATTTCCCCATGAGCAATTCCTCTCCCTGGTCAATTTTGTATCACACTAAAAGGTGATCTCTTGAAGTTCTTGCGTATTTTCATCATGTTTAGTGCAATTCTGTAAACCCTTCATAACCCAATGGAATGCATATGAGGTATCACTAGTGATGCTGGACGTGCTCTCCAAAAGCAGAGGGAAGTCATGACATTACAAGAAAAAGTTGAATTGCTTGATCTGTACCATAGACTGAGGTCTGCACTGCGGGTGTCACCCTTTCCACAGACGACTCATCTTGTAAACAGACCACAACAAACTTACAGTATTGATAAATACAGCGTAGTACTGTAAATATATTTTCCTTATGATTTTCTTAATAACATTTTCTCTTCTGTAGCTTACTTTGTTGTAAGAATACAGCATACAATGCATGTAACATACAAAATACTTGTTAATTGACTTTATGTAATCAGTAAGGCTTCCAGTCAACAGTAGGCTGCTAGTAGTTACGTTTTTGAGTCAAAAGTTATATGACAGCAACCCCCATGTTGTTCAAGGGTCAACCGTACTCTCATGTGTCTGTCATGCTCATTTGATCCTTCAGTATTTAGTGCCAAGAAAGGCAAATAAATTTCTTCTAGAGTCACCCAATCTCATTGTTGCCAGTGAGATTTTTCTGAAGCACTTTCTGTGCTACTTGATTCTTTGCAAAGCCTCCCTGAATCTTGTAGTTCATCCTTATCAAATTTTAGTCATAGAAGGAACACTTTGTTTCCTTCAGAAACACTCAGCACGTCTGAGTTCTCCCTGACAGCTCAGGAGGACTGCAGTGCTTGAGTTGAAACTACGTGCAGTTTCCTCACTGGTCCAGTGTTCCTGGTCTGGTTGCTTGGCCTTCATCCTCCCTGGAGTTCTAGTCCAGGAGCAGACACCAGCCACCAGAACGTGATTGTAACGTGATTGCCTGAAACATGTGATCTCATCACTTCTTCACAGCAGCCCTGTGTGACGTTCTTATCTCTGTAACTATGTGATTGGATACATGACCAAATCATATAGCAAGTACTTCTAAGGCCCACCTTTGAACCTGGTGTCTGGTTTCAGAATGTGAGTTCTGGCACTGTACTCTTTTGCCTCTTGCTATTTTAGTGATAATTAGACCATTTATTTACATAATTAAATGATAATATCATTTCTAATGATATTAATATATTGAAACTGTATAGTATGTGTGTATATATTAAAGATAGTATAGAATACATAATATAATAACAGAAAATATTAACATAATTTTTTTTGAGACAGAGTCTTGCTCTGTCACCCAGGCTGGAGTGCAATGGCAGGATCTCGGCTCACTTCGATGTTCACCTCCGGGGTTCAAGGAATTCTTTGCCTCAGCCTTCTGATTAGCTGGGAATACAAGTGCATGCCACCATGCCTGGCTAATTTTTTGTATTTATTTATTTATTTATTTTGAAACAGTTTCACTCCTTTAACCCAGGCTGGAGTGCAGTGGCATGATCATAGCTCACGCAGTTTTGACTTTCTGGGCTCAAATGATCCTCCCATCCCAGCCTCCTGAGTAGCTGGGACTCCGGGTGTGTGTCACCACACCTGGCTAATTTTTTTGTATTTTTTTGTAGAGATGGGGTGTAACCATGTTTCCCAAGCTGGTCTCGACCCCCTGGGCTCAAATAATCCACCTGCCTTGGTCTCCCAAAGTGCTGAAGTGATTCCACATCCTGCTCCCATTGAGATTTCTACATTGGGTAGTTGAATAAGACTCAGTCACTGATCATTCCATGGGCTCCCTTCACACACCTGTGGTTACAATTTGTGGTTAAATGAAAATACAAATTATGACATGTCATGAACCTCCAGAGTCACGCACAATGATCTGAAACCTCACATGTCAAATCTGCCAGTGAGGAGGGTCTACGATACTTTCTTCTCTTCTGTCAGTTGGAAGGAACAGCTGGACACCAGGCTGTGTGTACTTGTAAACAATGATAATTACCCTGTAGACTTGTCTTCTCCAAAGCAGGATGAACCCGGCTCTTTTAACCTTTCCTAAGCATGGTTTTGATTTTCAATCTCTTTAATCATCTCGGTGGCTGTCTTTGAACCTTCTCCAAGTTCTCCATGTCCCTTATTTTGCTGTGGAGCACCTAATTGCTCAAAATTCTAAGCTAGAAATTTTCACAGTATGGAATATAATTATACCATTCCTAGATGCCCTATTGTCCAGCAAAGGTAATTTTCAAAGAGTTTCTTTACCTGTTATTTTCTTTCTTTCTTTTTTTTTTTTTTTTTTGACAGAGTTTCGCTCTTGTTACCCAGGCTGGAGTGCAATGGCGCGATCTCGGCTCACCGCAACCTCCGCCTCCTGGGTTCAGGCAATTCTCCTGCCTCAGCCTCCTGAGTAGCTGGGATTACAGGCACGCACCACCATGCCCAGCTAATTTTTTGTATTTTTAGTATAGACGGTGTTTCACTGTGTTGACCAGGATGGTCTCGATCTCTTGACCTCGTGATCCACCCGCCTCGGCCTCCCAAAGTGCTGGGATTACAGGCTTGAGCCACCGCGCCCGGCTTACCTGTTATTTTCTTTGATCTACATTATAATCTAGTGAGGTAGATACTATCACCCCTCTTTTTGAGTTGGGAAAACTGAGATTCAGAAGGATTCAGAGACTTGCCTGAGGCACAGAACCCCAGCACATATTATGGCTGAGACTGGAACTGAAGTCACTAATTCCAATGTTCTTTCCACTGTATCCAAGCTCACGCATACAAGCAATTTATAAAGTACATAGCAATCTAAATAATTTTCTGCTCTATTTTACAAGATCTCTTTTTACCCACCATAGTTGGGTCGATTTCATTAATTCATTAATTTCTCCCCACCTCACTTCCAAATCCATCCATTTGACTCACCGATCCCTTGGTACTGGGACCACTGTGTAATGAGGTTGAGTTGCTGGCTGGTGAGACAGTAGGCTCGTGGCGAATGTGTCCCATGAATAAGGACCTTAAAGTGATGTTTTTGGAAACTTTGTTATTTCAAAGATACCGATTGAGAATTTTACTCTTAATGACCCATGTTGCAACAAGAAATTTTTGCCTATAGAGTTTTAAATTAAATTAAATTTAATTTTTTGAGAGGGAGTCTCACTCTGTTGCCCAGGCTGGAGTGCAGCGGCACAATCTGAGCTCACTGTAACTTCCACCTCCTGGGTTCAAACGATTCTCCTGCTTTAGCCTCTGGATTAGCTGGGATTACAGGTGCGCACCACCATGCCTGGTTAATTTTTATATTTTTGGTAGAGACAGGGTTTCACTGTGTTGGCTAGGCTAGTCTTGAATTCCTGACCCAAGGTGATCTGCCCGCCTCGGCCTCCTAAAGTGCTGGGACTACAGGTGTGAGCCACGGCGCCCAGCCGCCTCTACAGTTTTTTGCTCACTATTTCCATTAAAAAGGATATTTTACTGTAGGGGAAAAAAGGCGATTACAAGCCCTCTCCAGTGCATTCTCCTCTTGTACAGCCCAGGATGCCTGGTGCTCTTTCAAGCACATGTGGCTTCTCATGTTCGTGACCAAAGTCTGTGGAGCTTAGACTGGTGCAAGGTCAGGGCTCCACCTCTTAGTGTTTGTGCAGATTGGTTTTCCCATCCCATAAAACTGTAAATACCCAGTGCTTTTTTTTTTTTTTTTTTTTTTTTTTTTTTTTTTTTCTTTTTTTTTTTTTTTTTTTTTTTTTTTTTTTAACCATTACCATTTATTGTTTTAACATTAGACTTAATTGACTGCATGCTTTAGAATTTAATATTCGAATGTTTTCATTATGCAGATGGAAATATAGTACAGTCTTTACTCTCACCACACCACCTTTTATTGCAGTCATGTTTATAATTCCGGGTCCAGAATTTTTTATGATTTATATTCCATCATCAAGGAAGGATGTTTAAAATGCTGACTCACCTATATGTTGGATATTTTTTTTAAAATGGTGCCAGGTGAAGCAGCTCATGCCTACAATCCCGGAGCTTTGGGAGGCCAAGGCAGGAGGATCACTTGAGACTAGGAGTTTGAAACCAGCCTAGGCAACAGAGTAAGATCTTGTCTCTATTAAAAAAAAAAAAGAAAGAAAGAAAGAAAGAAAAAAAAAATCACCAGACCCTGGAGTCTTGGTGCTGTGCAGCGACTCAGTAGTTAGTTTCAGCTACTCAGGAGGCCAAGACAGGAGAATTGCTTGAGCCTGGGAGTTTGATGCTGCAGTGAGCTATGACTGTACCACTGCACCCTGGCCTGGGTGACAGAGAGAGACTCTGTTTCTAAAAAATAAAAATAAAAAATAACAGTAAAAATATGAACTCTAATTGACTGAATTGATGAGTCACTTAAAATGTTTTAAAGAATTTCCACACAGATTTGCAACAACAGTTAAAGAGATGCCTTTTAAATAAGGATGCAGAGCAGGGCAGTTGATAGCAGAGATGAGGGAGGGAAAGTGGACACAACTCACAGGTTTCCCAACTTGGGCTGTGCACAGAGCCATCTAGGTGGGGGTGGTGAAGGTAAGAAACACAGCAGGCCCCCCTGCCCTGCTTCTGATTTCATTGGTTTGGGTGGAGCCCTGCATGGACTTTATTAAAGCTCCTCAGCTGACTTAAAGCAGCTAGAATTGAGACCCAATGATGAGAGACCATGAAGAGCCTGGAGTGGGGGGCCACCGCAGGCAAGCACCTCCTGTGCTCCGGCATCAGTTTGCCCAGCTTTGGGCAGCCTGTCCTGGTGCTGGGGAGCACTAGCAGATCCAGGCCTGACCTGGCAGGCGTGGGAAGACTATGGATGGCTACCCTCAAGTTCACCATCTTGAAGGACTTAGAAGCAAGTCAGCCTCTCCAGATCTTGGATCTAATGACTTAGTTGCATCTTCCAGTGTCATGTGGGCCTCCTGTACAGAACTTCCCAGCAGACCTGGGATGTGGGAGCCCTTGGACTCCGGTGCCAATGGATTTCCAGTACTCTCTATATTTCTAGTACTGTATATATTCAGAAATGTTATGGACTGAATATATCCTCATCTCCAATTCATATGTTGAAATTTTAATTCTCAATATGATGGGTATGGGGAAGTGGAGTCTTGGGGAGGTAATTAGGTCATGAGGATAAAGCACTCCTCAATGAGATTAATGTCCTTATAAAAACGACCCCATAGAGCTCTCTTGCTCTCTTTCCACCATATGAGGATACAATAAGAAGGCAGCAGTCTGCACCCCAGAGAGGGCCTCTGCCAGAACTCAACCATGCTGGCACCCTGATCTCAGACTTCCAGCCTCCAGAGCTGCGATAAATAAATTTCTGTTGTTTATAAGCTGCCCAGTCTGTGTTACTTTCTTGTAGAAGCCTGAGCTAGGGTAGGAAGAATTTCCTAAACACACTTGATTAGAAGAATTTCCTGGGGTGCTTGTTAAATATGAATATTCCTAGACTCTTCCCCTGGAGATTCAAATTCATGAATTCTGGGATGGGGAACTGTAGTCAGTGTATTAACAAGTGCTTCAGGTCAGTCTTACAGTCAAGCAAGTTTAGGAAATTTAGACTGCGTCAAACTTAGTTGAGGAGGTTACAAGAGGTACAGATTTCCAAAGGCCACCTAGAATCAGATGCGGTTGGCCTTGGTTAAGGCTGAGGAATCTTCATACTCAACAATTCCCCTGTATCTTCAGGTAGATCTGATGTGGGCGGTTCTCAGGTTCACTTTTAGCCATGTGGCCTTGAAGAGAACTGCTATTTATTAAGGGCCTACTAACAGCCTGATCCAATCCAAGATGTCCTGAACCTCTGCGTACACTTGCTGTCTGCCTGCATCTTCTGTCTTCCCAAGCATGTCCAGGGCTCGTGCCACTCTCGATGCCCAGTTGGGGTTGGGGACCCTGATAACCATATTTTCAGCTTCCCCTATCTTCCTGTCTTTACACATGGTCAAAGTCCCTGCAGTGCTTGTGACCAAGCCTGCCAACATCATGTATCTCTGCCTTCCAGACAGATGAGGCAAAAAGAAAATTATGTGTGTATATAGATCTAGTTTGGAAAATGATAGCCAGTAGATTCTCTAGAAGTAAGCTCTGCTCCCCAACAGTAAATTCAACAATTAAACTCACCACATGGATTCATATTTTTTAAGTTACTTGTTTTTAGAGCTGGGCTCTTGCTGTGTTGCCCAGGCTGACATTGACCTCTGGCCTCAAGTGATCCTTCCCCCTCATCCTTCCGAGTACCTGGGATTATAGGCGTGAGCTACCCCACTTAGCTGAATCCGTTGTTAAAGGACAGTGGTAATATAATGCCTTTAAGACTGGTTTTCCAGAAGGTGCAGAAACATATATGATGCGTTTTGTACATCAGCCCTTGATAGTGGTAGTATAATAGTACAGTCAGCACACGTGAGGCCACACATACCATCTAACCCAATTCTAAATGGGCTTAAAGGAATTTATTGACTCAAGAAATTGAAAAGCTCAACATTCTGAGAAGCCTCAGCGTGGTTTGATCAGCTCCCCAGCTCTGTTTGTTTGAGATTATTTTTGCTTTGCCTTCTTCTGGTGGTTGGCTTCATCTTCAGTTTGGATTCTCTCAGAGCAGGAAGCAGCACCAGCCATTCCTGGCTTTTTATGTGCAATCCATGCCTTCCCAGAGGAAGAGATACCTCCTCTTCCCTCAACCACCAAACAAAATCCTGGACATCCCTAGGATGAACACAGCGTGGGTTACACTCTCCTTCCTGAACCAATAATTAAACTGACCAGCACGGGACTGGCGGGGTCCACCCTGGAGATGGAACATCAAGATACCCAGTCTCTATGACTGAAAGTGATGGAGTAGGAGGAAGGCTTTGGGAAAAAATTGACAAGGTCCATTACAAAAGCAATATATTTTATTCTACGATATAAGTAAGACATTCTATTCTGGATGTATGACTTTCTAGTTTACTACTTTGATAGAGGATGAGGAGGGATATCTTTAAGTTGGGGGTCAAAATCATCTCCCTAAACAGTTGAACAGTAGACCAGAGCCTAACATTTTATGCCACTTAGCATGTCTGCTCAGTTAATTCCAACAGAATGATGGACTGAACCAATTGTGTATAGAGCTTAGCTTCGTGACTGTTTTGGGCCTCATAATAATTGTTATCACGTATTAATATTATGCTGGCTATTCTCCACAATTTATCCTATTGACCTCTGACAAGGTAGATACATTGACTGAGGAAGTACCTGCGTCTCAGAGGAGTTAGTAACTTGCCCACAGTGACACAGCTAGGGAAAGGCTGAGCAAGCCTGGACTAGGACCCAGGTGCTCCTGCTTCCAAGAAAGAGATGCCCATGCTCTTCCCTCTCTGTGTGGGTACTGCCTCATAGGGAGCTGCGTATTCGGGAAGAATATTCATCCTGTGGGCCACCTAATCTCTTATTTCTTTGTCTCGGAAGCAGAAATGAGAAAACCCACGAGTGTCTTAGAGATTCAGCAAATGACGAGTGATATTTAAACATCTACAATTCAGAAATGTTTGCATAGCAATAGTAAAAATATTAAAATGTTGAGCAGCAGCAAGCTTAACAGCTAAAGTCTCGGAGACCAGGGAGAGTATCTCTAGAGCTACAGAAGGTACTGTTGTTGGGCTGTTTCTCCACATCATCTTCAGAGGACATAGATACAGAGGCATCACCAACTGATGAGGTATGAATACAACTTTATGCATTTTTTTTTTAAATATGGGGGTGGGGAACACTAGCTAAAGAAACGGTCAAGAAATAATAGCAGCTAATAGGTTTAGATAATTAGCAAAAGCAAGTGTGCTAGGTACACACTAACAGTTTGATGTGAAACCCTAGGGCTGGTCACCCCTTCTGAGAACCCCACTGAACTGCGCCCTTTTTCAAGATAGAAAAATCTTGCCAGCTGAGTGGTCATAAATTCTCTTCCAAGGGAATCTGTGCTCACTCCTTACCCCTCATCTTCACGTTTCCTAGATGGTGGTTTAGAAAGTGTGATAAAGCAATTTAACCTAATTGATTTACAACTACTAATACTAATGGCTTTCAGTAGAGTGATTGGTGGGTGAGGGAAAGCCTCATTCTCATCTTTTGAATGTGATATCTGCTTTGTGATAACTTGAGAGTTAAAAAAAAAAGCCTGCTTTATTTGTTTATTGAAGACTTTCCTTGTCAAAAGCTTCTCTACTCAATGAATATAATATTTTTGGGGAAGTGGGAGAGAAATGAGATGGTATTCTGCCCTTTCAGGCTTCCATAATACCTGCCATAGTTAAAGAAGAATGAGAGGAAGAGCCTCAGAGCAGCTGGGCACCTTGCAGAGAGGAAAGCCAAATTGCAGATGGACTGAGTGACTTCTAATAGCCACTGGGCTGGAGAGAAGAGGCGCTTTCTGTCTTCTTCAATAAGTCATCTACTCTGTGCAATATTTTCCCAGCAACAACAAGACTGATAAAGTAAATTAGTTAATATGCTGTCATTAGGCTGAGATGTGGGGCAGCCAGGAAGGTGGGGATAGGGCAGAGTGTAGAGGTAACACGCTTTCAATGAGCTGATCGAAAAGAGCCTGGGTTTCAGAACACTGAATCCTAGGAGCTGGATTGGCTGAGTGTGGAGGGGTCGTATCTGTGCATCTGGTGCAAATGTGAAGACACAGCATCAACACAATTAGATGAGTTCATGTCCTATGTCTGTTGTTTAATTTTTCTTTTTCTTTTTTTTTTTTTTGAGACGGAGTTTCGCTCTTGTTACCCAGGCTGGAGTGCAATGGCGCCTTCTCGGCTCACCGCACCCTCCGCCTCCTGGGTTCAGGCAATTCTCCTGCCTCAGCCTCCTGAGTAGCTGGGATTACAGGCACGCACCACCATGCCCAGCTAATTTTTTGTAGTTTTAGTAGAGACGGGGTTTCACCGTGTTGACCAGGATGGTCTCGATCTCTTGACCTCGTTATCCACCCGCCTCGGCCTCCCAAAGTGCTGGGATTACAGGCGTGAGCCACCGCGACCGGCCTAATTTTTCTAAAGTAACAGTCTTGCATTTAAACATGAAGACAGTAAGGGCCAAATTAGCTGGAACTTGTAGGTCTTCGAAGGATAATGCTAAGAACTTGCCATTATTTGAAAATGCTTGCAAAGGCCCTAGGACTTTTTAAAAAGACATTTAAAAAACCCCTAAAACAAAAACAAAGGGCAACTTTAACATAGATGTATATGTTAATTGTTCATTTGGCCTGTGATACAGACATTGTAAAGCTTCGAAAGCACAAGCAAACCCCAAGCTAAGTCCCTTGGGTCTTTCATTTTCCCTAGAAAATTGAGACAAAGTCTGCAGTTTAGGACTGGGAGAATTCACCCCACCCTTCAGAGTAAGCTGGAGTCAGCTAGAAAGGAAAGGTGTGACTCAGTGATTTGGTGACTCAAAGAGAATTTGCTGAGGGGAGGCGAGGCCTCTGTCCACGCCCTGCTCATCACTGGCCACTCCTCAGCCACGGCCTCTTGTCCACTCAGACAGGCTCTCAGACTCTGCTTAGTGTCCATGCCAAAGCATGGCTCGTGACATTTGTTTTCTTCTGACATTTGATTTTGTCCCCTGTGAAAGGGATATGTATGATTTTGAATTAGTTTCACTCTTCCCAGTTGCCTTTTTGAAGTGGAAAAAATGGAAAGTATGGACGGTCTGGTGCTATTAACTTGAACACACAACTTAAGCTTAAAAAGACTTGGCTTAATTCATGACTTATTAGCTGTGTGACCTCAGGCAAGCCACTCAACTTCTCTGTGTCACAGGTTCCTGTGTATAAAATGAGAGATTTGCACCAGGTGGATTCTAATTGTTCTAAAGATCCTGACCCAAACCCAACAGGAGATATAGTTTATTTTTATTTTATTTATTTATCTTGAGACCGAGTTTTGCTCTTGTTGCCCAGGCTGGAGTGAAATGGCATGATCTCAGCTCACTACAACCTCCGGCTCCTGGGTTGAAACGAGTCTCCTGCCTCAGCATCCCAAGTAGCTGGGACTAGAGATACATGCCACCATGCCCGGCTAATTGTGCACTTTTGGTAGAGATGGGGTTTTGCCACGTTGTCCAGGCTGGTCTCGCACTCCTGACCTCAGGTGATCTGCCTGCCTCAGCCTCCCAAAGTGCTGGGATTACAGGCATGAGTCACCTCGCCCAGCCCCCAGCAGGATTTTAGACCAGTGGAGTCCTGCCCATTCCTGCCTTAATGGAAGACCCAGTTTTGCATCCTTAAGAGTAACAAACAGCACCTGTACGGGAGACAAAGACTGGGGAAGGAAGGGGTTCCATTCTTCACTATTGAAGAACATGAGGAACTTGATATAAAAGACGAATTTTATACATTTTAATTTTTCTGAATTCCCAGTAACACTACTCTTTTGGCTAATATTTGTACCTTCACTTTTTTTTTTTCACAGAATCAATAACCTTAACCATCTCCCTCTATCAATCCCACATATCAATCGCCTCTTAAAGGCTTACACGTGGAGTGATTTCTAATCTCATTTCCTACATACAAAGTCTCGTTTTTCAAATACACACTCCCAAATCCCTTTGGTTCTTCTCTGGCCTCTTGACAAACATTGTAATGGTTGGAAACCACAGACAAGCCTATTTTCTCTCTTCCATTCCTGTGATCAGCCTCCCAACTACTCACTCGGTGATTAAAAGTGAGTTAGTTAAAATCTGGATCTAAGAGTCATCTAACATTGCTTGGACATGTATGCATTTCTAATTACACATGTTTTGCTTTATACTTGGCCTTGATTGACTGACACTTGAATCATTTTGCTTCCCAGGGATCCTTGTCTTCGCTGCCCAAGTAGGGAACACAACCTCATTTATATGAGCTTCAGATGCCTTTACATAAACTTGGGTTTCTATATGGGATGCAGTATTTGGAGAAATTAAAGTCCATCTCAGTTTTCTTTCTTTCTTTCTTTCTCTTTCTTTCTTTCTTTCTTTCTTTCTTTCTTTCTTTCTTTCTTTCTTTCTTTCTTTCTTTCTTTCTTTCTTTCTTTCTTCTTTCTTTCTTTTTCTTTCTTTTCTTTTTTTCTTTTCTTNTTCTTTCTTTCTTTCTTTCTTTCTTTCTTTCTTTCTTTCTTTCTTCTTTCTTTCTTTTTCTTTCTTTTCTTTTTTTCTTTTCTTTTCTTTTCTTTTCTTTCTGTGTAAATTGCCTGTAGAACCTTGAAAATAATTTCAGATACTGTACAGTCTCACCAAGTCCTTACCAGTATTTGCCAATGTGAAAAACGGTTCTCCAGAAGCATTTGTTCTGAATGACTGGGATTTCTGAAAGCAGATGCTATTGTAAAAATGTAGCTCAGGATAGATCTCCTTATTTATCAATGCTTTCATGCAAAACAAACAATTCGGTTAAAGATAGCATGCTTTGGGCTTCTGATTAGATCGCAGAAGTACAGCGATCCCAGGGCTTTCATGCGTTTGCATGATGTGAACCCGCACAGTTCTTTCCTCTGACCCTTCATTTTTAACGTAAGCCTGTGTAGAGAGGCATAGTATTTCTTGCCACTGTTCTTGCTCAGTATACTGTTCTCTGGTTTGCATTATTTGAATAAGTAGGGGGTTTACAGATCGAATAAAAATTAAAAACAAAACAACCCACCAACCTTTGATGATTCTGCTCTGCATCGCTGATGACAAGGAATGCTTGTTTCCAACCAGGCTGCAGGGATGGGTAGTGTGGAGGAATTTTTTGGACAGTAGAAACTCAGCCCACCAGCTTCCCTTTCCAGGATTCAGACCGCTTCACAGTCTAGCAAGCTCTTCTTTAATAATGGAAGTGTGAGACTCCCAGGTCGGATTTAAGCATTTAAAAAATATAATGGTTTGCATACTGTGCAGTGATTTGTAAAATGTGAATGCCTACAAAAGCCGTGGTTACCCAGCATAACATTATCTTATTTTTAGTTACACAACCAGTAAAACAGCTGGAGGTCTAAAATCACGGCCTAGCACTAAACGCATTACTACATTTTATCCATGCAGTAAGGGCCTGTCCTTTCTGTTAGACGATAGGAGAAAGTGGAGTGATTACTGGCAAATTAACACTTCCAATTTTAATAGGGAAGCAAGGCTTACATAAAAGCATCGGAATTAGAATCTATGCCAGTTAGATATTGTACCGCATATAATTTGCGGCAAGATCACGCTAATATCCTACTGCATTTTATAATCAAATGAACCTTTATTCAGTAGTTAAGAGATGATATCTACTTGAGTTGACTAAAGAAGTAACCGGCAAAATATTTTACTTTATAGCTTCTTAACATAGTTAATAGAATCATATTGGCAATAATAGCAAGATATAATTGGCACTTAGCCGTGCTTGTTTTTGTTTTCTCTGTAAAAGCATAAAGTAGTGTGTAACACCCCATTCCCTTTATCTGTAAAACCAATCTTTTCAGCTTGGTCAGTAATTTTCATATAGCAGATCCAGAAAACATGAAAATATGCAATTGCTGATATTGACTTACATGACTACAAAGACGGCAATTTCCTCTAATCTGGTTTAGTGTGTTTCCCCAGAAAACATACACACAAAAACACAAGCATGCACGTTTGTAGCTGACACATGTATGAGTTATAAGAATTGTGAATTTCGAAAGCAAATATTCCTAATTTTTTTCCACTGATATTTCCTGGGTGGTTGTGTCTGGAAGTTGCACTCTCCATCTGCCACGCTCTTAAGCCAGACAATCATACAATGAAGACAAACAAAACATGTTTTTATTTGTTAAACAGAAACGTGAATGAAAGCATCTGTGCTATATTTATTGATCTGAATCAAAAACATACTGAAACAACCTCTTGACAAGACCTATGGACTCTTTTTCATGCCTGCAAACAGAGTCTCCCATCCAATACCTCACAGAAGGAAATGATGAAGTTGCTGGAGCCTCTGCTCCCATTCAGCCATTTGCCGAGCGCCACTCTTAGCCCTTGTCATCACACAGAGTGGCTCCACCTCTGGAATCTTAAATTCAATTATCTTGTTTGACCACAAATTTTTATCATGACAACTCAGCCACTTACCTTCTTGTGTGTCTCATCTTCTTTGAGACATTCAGTGCCTCGTCTACGCTGCTTCTATTTTTCCCAGTTGTTTTTAGTACTGTAAACAATATCATTTAAAAATTTTATTTTCTACTTATTTGTTGCTCATGCGTAGAAATGCAATGAGCTTTTTTAGTTGTTTTGTTTTCAGTAACATTGCTGTGCACAAATGCCAAAAATTTACTGTAGGTTCTTTGGGGTTTGGAATGAAGAACACTAGTGATAGATATTTGAGATGGTGTCTTGCTCTGTCGCCAGGCTGGAGCGCAGTGGCACAATCTCGGCTCACTGCAACCTCCACCTCCCGAGTTCAAGCAAGTCTTCTGCCTCAGCCTCCCGAGTAGCTGGGACCACAGTCGTGTGCCACCACGCCTGGCTAATTTTTGTATTTTTAGTAGAGATGGTGTTTCACCATGTTCAGGCTTGTCTCCATCTCTTGACCTCGTGATCTGCCTGCCTCAGCCTCCCAAAGTGCTGGGATTACAAGCGTGAGCCACCGCGCCTGGCTGATATTTTTTCTAATCATACTTTTTTTGAAGCTTTTCTTGTTTTACTCTCCTACCATACTGGGTAGGCCTCACAGCTGTGAATAAGATAGTCATGTCTGTCTTTTTTTCTAATTTTAAAGCCAGTGCAAGCTGGGCACAATGGTGCACACGTAGAATCCCAGCAATTTGGGAGACTGAGGCAGGAGGATCACTTGAGGCCAGGAGGTCAAGACCAATCTCGGCAGCATAGCGAGACCTTGTCTCTACAAAAAATAACAAAAGTAGCTGAGCGTGGTGGTATGTGCCTGTAGCCCTGGTCCCCTGGAGGCTGAGGCACAAGGATGCCTTGAGCCCAGGAGTTAGAGGTTACAGTGAACCACGATTGTGCCACTGTTAAGTATGGTATTTGCATTAGTTTGTTTAAATTCTCATTATGAGGTTAAGATGTTCCTGTCCATTTTTAGTTTGCAAAATGCGTTTATTTTTTTTAATGTTCCATTCCCCTTGCACATATTAAGATAATCAAATGGTTTTCTCTTTTAACCAAAGTGGTGAATTAATCAATTTTCTAACAATAAACCAATCTTGCATTCCACAACTAAACCCAATATGGTCTGTATGTATTAACTTTTAAAAACCGATTTGTTTTCTTAATACCTTGTTTAGGTATTACATCTATGTTAATAGGTGAAATTTGCTTGGAATATCCCTTTCTTATATAGTTCCTGTATACAGTATCAAATATCATAAGTGTGTGACTCTCCAAATGAAAGCTCATGGTCATTAAAGAGCACAAGATGCTCTAAAGGCAGCAGTATCAATGAATATTCTAGGTGGCTGTTAGTTTCCGTCCGATATTTTCAGGGCTATCCCCATTTCTAGTTTTACCCTATCTTAAACAAAGCCTCTTTATTACTTCTCATCGTCCAGACCTTTTATCTTCGGAATTCTCTCACTATTGACCAAGTCCTCAAGATCATTGTGGAGGTATCTATTCAGCATGATGTTTTAAGCCCTGGAAAGGTATCCTTTGTTCCTCTTGACTGTATCATGATCTTAGTTGCTTTTCATTTCTTCTGTGTTTTACATACAAACTTTCTGTTTCTTTCTTTCTTCCTCCCTCCCCCTCTCTCTTCCCTCCCTCCCTTCCTTCCTTCCTTCCTTCTTTCCTTTCTTTTTTACAGGGCCTTTCTCTATCACCCAGACTGGGGTATAGTGGCATGATCATAGCTTAGAATTCTTTTTTATTTTATTTATTTATTATTTTGAGATGGAATTTTACTCTTGTTGCCCAGGCTGGAGTGCAATGATGTGATCTTGGCTCACCACAACCTCCACCTCCTGGGTTCAAGCAATTCTCTGGCCTCAGCCTCCCAAGTAGCTGGGATTACAGGCATGCACCACCATGCCCAGCTAATTTTGTATTTTTAGTAGAGATGGAGTTTCTCCACGTTGGTCAGACTGGTCTTGAACTTCCAACCTCAGGTGATCTGCCCACTTTGGTCTCCCAAACTGTGGGATTACAAGCGTGAACCACCACACATGGCATCTTAGAATTCTTAGAATTCTTTTTTATCCATGCTCATTCCTGTGATGAGCTTGTCTAAATGCATAAGTCCAAATCCATTAATGCAAAGATTATTCTCCATCTACATCTTCAAGTCAGAGCTGTGTTGAGCTCCTTACTTGATTTCCACTTGGATGTCGAATAGCTCACACAGTATCTGATCTTTGCCTCCTGCCTCAAATGGATTTCTTTTTCAGATTTTCTCCTTTTAGTTCCTTCTAGTTCTTCCAATTTAGAATTAGCTTGGACTCCTTCCCCCACTCCCCTCACTCCGCATTTAATCCATAAGTAAGTCTCACTAGTTTTATCTTCATACTAAGTCCAGAATCTGACCATTCTTTTCCCCTCCATGGCAACCAGACTTATCCATGCTAGTATCATTTCTCACCTGAATTACTGCAACCATCCTAAATACTCGCCTGCCATCGGCCCCTTTAGTCTACTCCCACTCCAGCGGCCGTGGCGGTGCTATTAGGATGTCATTCAGATAATGCCCACAGCCCTCCAGAGTAAAAACCAAAGTCTTTGTAGTGGTCTTACGGTCCTACAATCCGGTTCCCATCACATTCTGACCTCACTTCCTTTTACTGCCTCCTCCATATTCTTAGTGCTCCGCTAGTCTTCTTGCCCTTCCTTGCAGACACAAGGCATGCATCCCCTTCAAGGCCTTTGCACGTAGTATCTGCTCCACCAGGAGTGCTTTCCCAGATCTCTGCAGAGCTCACTGCCTCATCTCCTTCAGGTGTTTGCTCAGATGTCACCATCTTCGTGAGCTCTGATCAGACCACCGCATTTAAGATTATGACCTCTCCCTCCACACTCCCCAGCCCCTTGCCTGTTTCATCACTCTGCATAGCGCTTCTCTCCTAACACATTCATTTTCTTTCGTATTTGTCACTCTCATTAGTGTCCTCAGGTAGGACAATTTTCTCTCTCTTGTTCACTGATGGATTTTCAGAACCTAAAACAGTGTTTGGCACATACCAAACATTCAACACATAGCTATTGAGTGGATGAATGAATGAGTGGAAATAATTAGCCTGGCGATAAGAATGGACAAATTGAGAAAATGGAACAGAAACTGATCATTAATGGGCTCAACTATTTCTTTCTTTTCACGGAAGAAGGGGAAGAATGAAAAAGAAGAAAATCATGAGTCATTTTGAAAAATCCCTAAAAACATGAAGCTGTTTATTAAAAAAAATTATCAGGTGCTCACTATTGATCAAGTCCTCAAGATCACTGCGGAGGTATCCATTCATCGTGATGCTTTAAGCCCTGGAAAGACATCCTCTGTTCCTCCCGATTGTATCACGATTTTGGTTATTTTTCATTTCTTCTATGTTTTACATACAAACTTTCTATTTCCTTCTTTTTTTTGAGACAGGGTCTTGCTCGAATTACCTAGGCTGGAGGGTAGTGGCAGTATCATAGCTCACTGCAGCCTTTAATTCCTAAACTCAAATGATCCTCCCACCTCAGCCTCCTAAAGTGTTGAGATTACAGGCATGAGCCACCGTGCCTGGCTCAAATGTTCTCCGTTTACTTTGTTTTCATTTGTGGTGCTCAGATCAGAATCATTTCATATTAACAAAGATCTGATCATTACAATAAAAACGTAATTACTGTGAGATGTCTATATGCTTACTTCACTTTTATTAAGCCTGTTTCTTAAGCAACCCTGAGTGACTACCAGCAATGATCTACCCTGGCTTGTTAGGATATTCAGATTTTTTAAAAACATTCCTTGTCATGTGACAATTATGGATTTTTAAAATATTTTCCTGTTAGTGCAGTGTAGCATAAATATAATTTTCACTCTCCACAAACTTCAGTGCACAAAAAAACATGAGTTAAAAACATAAGAAAAGTCGCTCCACTTAATTTCTAACTTAAGCCCTTATTCCACTGGCGACAGGCACTAAAACTGAGTCAATGAGGGATAACTTCTCCCTGGGGCCGTATCTAAGATGGAGGGAGAGCTGCGTGCTGTCAGTGAATTGGAGGGGAGGGGCATCTGGTCTTCTGCCTTCACTGTCTATTCCTTGAGCCATTTATGGTCCTGCCATTGTCTCTGGTTGTGGTCCACATACTCCAAGTTCAACACATTTCCATCTTGAGGCGCCTCCTCGTTCCCTGGTTTCCTCAGCCCTTTTGCCCCCTCGAGGGAAGAGGGAGGGCATAAGACTGTGCTGCTTTCCCACCTCTCTCCCGGGAAGAGGCTCAGGGACCTGCCTCAAACCTCCTGCCATTTCACTTCTTTAGTTGCTACCCCATGCTGGCTAAGGTGACTTCTCCTTGAAGTTTCTCAATGCCCCAGACTTCTCTGAGGAATCCCAGTCTTCCCTGATCTCAGATCCGTATCTGGAATGTCTACCAGTTCCCCTCCCTCCGGAGCCGTCTTGGCTGTGGACACAGGGCAGGGTCTGGGGAACTCTCTTGCAGGCCCGCATCATCATCTGACTTTACTGCTCTCCTTGCCTAGTTGTCGACCCTAGCCAATGGAGTTGCGATTTAGTTTTCAGTGATACTCTTTCCAATCTATGGTTTATGTCATGAACTTTATGTGCATCAATAGGCTCAGCCTACTGAAACTCAAAAGTCCAGCCCTTAAAATCACATCTTTGCTATGCACGCCGAGTTATTTGTGTTAGGAGTCTCACCAATCCATTTTGAAACTCAAACCTGAGTATGATTGGGTGTTTTGTCTTTGCATTTTGATAATCCTAACAATCCAGGAGGTAGAGGGTGTCCTGCTTCAGTGAATGTTCAGCAGTGGGGGTAGAGAAGTACAAAGGCCATTAGTGAAAAGGAAGGATGGGAAACAAGTCCTCCCCAAATCACAGTGACTTAAAAATAATGATCCATAGGCCCCCAAACATCTGTATTAAAAAATTCTCATAAAAACATGTTGCATTTTCATCCTACTCCCTAAGGGGCAATTTGTTTCTTCAACTGCTGCCCCTCTTTGCATGGTCTGAAAATAATATTTATTTATGATTATTATTTGTTGTTTACTTTTTCCAGTTCGTGAAATAACCACAGGAAAGTTTTTCCTTTTCATCTGTGATTTTTTTTTAATATCAAAGAAGGCATGAAGATCACCTTAATCTTTGTCAAGAAAAATCTAGAAGTATCATAAGGACATAAAAACCGTAATAGGTAATCAACCATGCATTAAAAAAATTGACTAAGATTAAAAAATAAACAATTTTAGGTCCCTCCAAAGCAGAAAGAAAGCAGCACAGAAGTAAGCATATATTTCCATTGCTCTTTCTTTTGGAGCTGAGGATTTGATTTTCTGCTTACTGGTCATAAAACCACTAAATATGTAACTTCTGAGGCTGAAAGAAAAGAAGACTAAGTGTCCTTTTTATATTGTTCTTTGGATCTCTGATGACAGCCTAGAGAGTCACTGTGAAAGAAAGAGTCACGCTTAGCCCCTTGTTCCATTAAGCTGTCTGTTGGCTCAGAACCTCAGACTTGCCTGAGAACATGAGTTCTGGTTGAAGCCATGGCTCTCAAGATTTGCTGCCTGAGAAGAACAGACTTTCAAGATTTGCTGCCTGAGAAGAATACGCAGAAACCACCATAGCATATGCATTTCTGGAGGTGGGGTGGAGGCAGGGGACGCAGAATAGAAAGCTGTTCATTTCATTTTTCTCCCCTCCCCTCCCCTCCCCTCTCCTGCCCTGCCCTTCCCTTCTTTTTGAGATGGAGTCTTGCTCTGTTGCCTAGGCTGGAGTGCAGTGGTGTGATCTCGGCTCACTGAAATCTCTACCTCCTGGGTTTAAGCAATCTCCTACCTCAGCCTCCTGAGTAGCTGGGACTACAAGCGTCTGTCGCCACACCCAGCTAATTTTTGTATTTTTAGTACAGACGGGGTTTCACCATGTTGGCCAGGATGGTCTCGATCTCCTGACCTCGTGATCCACCCACCTTGGCTTCCCAAAGTGTTGGGATTACAGGTATGGGCCACCACGCCTGGGCAACTTTTTTGTATTTTTGGTAGAGACGGTGTTTCACTGTGTTAGTCAGGATGGCCCTGACCTTGTGAGCCACCTGCCCCAGCCTCCCAAAGTGCTGGGATTACAAGCATGAGCCACCATGCCTGGCTCCATTTTTCATGTATATACTTGCTCTGGAGATTTTAACACTTGTTAAGTTTAACCCATTCCTCTTTTAATGGGGTGGGTTTGAATCCTTCGCAACACTGTGTATGAGAAACAAACTATCAACATAGACACAATTCGCAAAAGTCAATGATTTTGCAGTAAAAGGTGCCATATTTATTTTATCTTATTTTTTATTTAGTAATGGTTAGGTGCCATGAAGTAGGCGGCAATGCCTTAACTAAATGCTTGTTGTCAGGCCCAAGAGCCTCTTCCATCCTTGTCAAGGGGAATGCCAACCTTCTCTCCTTTCTTTTTCTTTCTTTTTTTTTTTTTTTTTTTTTGAGACGGAGTTTCGCTCTTGTTACCCAGGCTGGAGTGCAATGGCACAATCTTGGCTCACTGCAACCTCCACCTCCTGGGTTTAAGCAATTCTCCTGCCTCAGCCTCCTGAGTAGCTGGGACTACAAGCATCTGTCGCCACCCCCAGCTAATTTTTGTATTTTTAGTAGAGACGGGGTTTCACCATGTTGGCCAGGATGGTCTCGATCTCCTGCCTCAGCCTCCCAAAATGCTGGGAATGTAGGCGTGAGCCTCTGCACCCGGCCCCTTCTCTCCTTTCATATAACACTTAAGCCACTTTTAAGTTTTTCTTTAGAGAAATCAGTTGTTAGGGATTCTCCAATCACTATCCTTTGTTCATGCCCAAAGCCTACTCTTGTATTCTGATAGTATGAATACGATCAGACATATTTTCCTCATTACCAAAAAAAGCTGAGAAAAGCATTGCTTTGGTTTAAATATTTTCAGAAACTGTGCAAATACTGGAGGAACAATTGATAGTAACAGTGAAAGCAAATAAAACTTGGTTTAAATATAGTTATCCCTTCTTCCCTTCTTTCTTTCTCTAATAATAGGGCATTTATTAGATGATACAAAGCAGGATCTGGTGTTTTCAGAGTGGGTAACATACACAAGTTGAATCTCCAGTTTCAATGTATAAATGTGTGGTCTCGAAGTATTCTTTATGAAGGCCTCAGCAGCTCAAGATAAGAGTTTACGTTTCCGAATTCGTGAAAGCAAACTTAAAAAAGAAAAAGACGCCAAAGTAAATATAAAAGCAAAAATGCAAGCTGCCTCTAGTTTCTCATTTGGAAGTTATATATTTGGTATTATAAGAAGACCAAAAAAGACACCTGAAGGGGGCTTATCTTCCATGCACAGGGACTTGTTTATGACGCCACCAGAGTTGCTCCGTCCCAGATGTCTGCAGTGTGGTCTGGACATCTGGTTTTAATAGTTTCCAGGCATACCAGTGAGAACATTATCACAAATGGGTTGAATATGATTTGCACAAGGAGTGGAGGTGGGGGGAAAAACAGACAGCTAATAAGGGTTCAATAGTTTGGATAGTTCTCAATTTTCATGAACAACTCTGGGAGTGTGATGCTGAGCTCAATATAATTCAAAT